ATTGAGACAATGAACGAGCGGCTCGCGAGAGTTGTGCACACTGCATCCATCATTTTGGCTTCCAATATAATTGACGTTTTAATCGTCCAAAATTTCATAGCTGAAAATTGGGCGTCTGTATTTGTAGAGCAAGTCCGATAAAATTTAGGTAACAAAAAAATATCGATGTAATACAAAAAAAAACGTTAAAATGGCCGATTCTGATTGATTCTAGAGATCAAGACTGGAATAGTCAACAGTAAAAGCTGGACATTTCTTTATATATTTATTATGCGTATCATTTTCAGTCTATTTATGCATCATTGTCGCAGTCTTAGTCACAGTCTTTGTTTTAATCATAAAATCAAGTTTTAAGCATGTCATTCATGCAATATTTTTAGTCTTAATCCTAATCATAATCATCAAATCATGACCCTGAAAGTACAAACTTTCAATTTTTATGCTTATGATTGAGACCACATAAGAAATGCGCATGTGTAGCCCTATTTGACAATCACAAATGACTTTTAATTTTGTGTTTGTCACCCAAAAATCATTGCCATTTTGTACTGTGTCAATAATTGATCACATCATTCTGATAATTTGATTAGGTACATTTGATAACAAATATCAAAAAATCATGGGCCTGGAAGAAGAAACCCTGATAGATTTGGTGGAGAAATTTCCCCATCTTTGGGACAAGAAAGACTCAAAATACAAAGATAAAATTGCAATAGAGAATTCCTGGAAATCAATGTCACAAATCATGGCATGGCAAAATATGAACTACCCGAATCGACGTTTCCCTTCCTGATCTCATTACTCCCTCATTACTTATCTGATGCATTTTTATCAGCGTCCTTCTATCTACATATGACGAATTCAGCAAGTCAGCATTCGTCGTTACAGGAAATGATTTCAATCAACAACCGTAGAGCTCTGGTTACGTAGGTATATCGCGGTATTATACCCTTGAAAATGCATTTGTGCAAACGTATTCGTCATTATTTCAGAAATAACAAGATCAAAGACGGCACCAGTCAGCGTAATGAATCTCCCCCAGTTTGTGTTTGTTTTTCATTGAGATGTCGCTTGATTTATTCCTTTATCAGACCTTGTCAGAACCATAACAAACCAAGTCATCAAAAGAAAGGAGATATTTCATCTACCGTCAGTCATGCGTCAGTCTGTGTGTGAATTTCTAGATGTAGGTACTGATGGCTATCAACCGGATTTGGCAATATGATTAAACTGTTCTCAATGGACCACAATGAAGAAACCACCACCAACTTCTAGTCGTCGCTGCAATTTTTTTAGGAGTACATTTTCACGTAAAACTAAATAATCTTGTGTAGGTATGTGGCCATCGACAATACGATAGATCTCTCAGCCCTAACTGTCTTTCAATTTGACATAGTTTGAAAGTTCGACAAAAAATACTGCCTTGCAGATGATGTAGACATGCTCAATTATAAGGTCATGTACTATCATCATTACCAGAGTTATCCTCCGAAGGAAAATAGATAAGGATTATAGATGAAAACTGAACAACAAATTCAGTTCTAGTAGGTTTCGAGTAGAACATTATGCAAGAATAGGTTCAAAAGCTGTTCGCGAAAATCACGAACCAATAGATGGCGCTATTAAACGTCAAATTTCAAACCTGAGTATAAACAACAAAGACAATGTCCATGATGAAAGCACAATCAATACCCAAGTCAATACCCGCTTAACACACTACTGATGCTCTTAATTCCTATTTGAAATTCGAACAGAATCTTGAATATGCCGAAGACACCGAAAACATGACATTCGTCACAGATATGTCAATATGAAGATGTTTCCACACGGATTATTTGTTGCGCCCTGTTTGTTTTGCGTCCTGTCTCTAGATGCGTCTTATCAGCTATTATTGAAATCGTGCACCATCAATGGAACTCTTCAGGTCCCGAAAGAAGGAAAACACATCCTCGAAAGTCTAGTTCAACTTCATGATAAGATTCGAAACGCATTTTGAAAGTTTTCAAGAAATTGTCCATCGATAACCCCACGTTCCGAATTCGAATTGAATTGTTCATATCGAGAGCTAGTCTGACGAAACAATTGAAGAGTGGGCACACCATCAGAGCAATTATAAACATCTCAGTTCAAACAACAATACCTTGCGAGTATGAGTCGAATATAATCCCCTATTTCCATATTATTGTAGAAAGAAAAAAAAATGCCACATAATTGTTATTTTAGATGAGTTTATACAGGGTGAAAATGTTGACTGGAATAAATTCGCTACTGGGGAACTGAATGATTTTTCTGTAAATTAGCGAGACACGTCAACGTATGTATTTACATACATTTGGCGAGCGATATGGAGAATATATCCCTTCAGGGGTAGCTGGAATCAACCCCAACGTGTTTTTTCAAATGCAACCCTATGGCTTGCGACCCCTCATTGAAAAGCTGGTTGAGAGAAGAATTCAGCGTACTGGTCAAATCTCAGTTTGCAGTACGTTTGGGGGTCGCATGAAATTAAAATATAATTTCGAAGTTCAATATATTTTCAACGTGACAGTGATATAGGGCATTTCCACCAGTGTGTAATAACACAATAGGGCAAAAAAGTGATTTTTTTGCGGCTCTATCTAAACACTGAAATACAATAGCAGATAGCAGTTGCGAAAAATTGCAATCAATTGTTCAACACACATTTTCAGCTATTGATGCTCGGATTGATGCGTTGAAAAGAAAATTGTATATTGAAATTATATTCTGTTTTTTGCAACCTTCAAATGTATGAAAAAATAAAATCTGACTAGTACGCTAGACTCCTCTTTCCCCCAGTTTTCCGATGAGGGGTCACAAGCCATATGGTTACATATGAAAAAATCATGGTGAGGGTGGTTTCAGCTATCCCTGGAGGGGTATATTCTCGATATTGGTTGCAAAAGGTAGGTGAATTAAATCGTTGACGTATGTCGGGAATTTAAAAAAATATATTTACTTCCCCGTAAACGAATTCATTACAGTTAAAGTCTATACACTGTACATATACTCACCATTACATTGAAATTGGCTAACAGTCGTTTCATAAATTTGGATTAGAGAGCGGTCAGACTCCACGCAAACGCAACACGCAACCATCGCAACTATATATATAGATTCACGATTTATGGGAAGACCTTTTTATTTTTTCGGATGATCAATTTCTGACAGATTCAGACCAGAATGTGACCTTTGTGATGATTAAGCCGATTGAGACAGCTGACATTTCCTTCCGATGGGGGATTCGAAATTGGATTGGGAGTATTGGGAATTTTGATGCAGCAGTTTTTCCTCTTCGAGACGAGGGGAGAGAGAACTAATGTTTAATGAAAATCAAATCGGAGAAGTTGGAAAAGTCAAACCTGATGGGATTGAAAATTCCGCATTATAATTTCGGTTTTCCCCCGTATTTTAATGAATCAATTAACTAATGATCTTCCAGAAAACTGGGTTCATTATAAAACATAATATAAGTGGTATGATCATACGAATTGGGATCTGGCGGTATTCCAACAGTTTTTAGGTGCAGGTACTGTCGAAGTACTTCAACTTCCTACATGAAATATAACAATGGATTCTTTTCATACCATCACATTGTAAAGGTTGAATGTTCTCTTCGGAGAATTAGTACCAGATGATGATATTCAAATTCAAAATGACAATTTCTGAAGTGAAGCTAAGAACAACAATTTTTGAAATTTTCATGATATGATTATTCAAGAAACATGCAAAAAAGCAATCTCAGAAATTTCATTTTGGAATCAGCGGAAGTTGCATTTTTCACATATTTCGAAAGTGAGCTATGAAATGTTATCATTTATATGAGTGAGAGCTTGTCATTTGACTCATGATTGGGAGTTGATATAGTGAACTTCAAAAACCAATACATTTCATTTGAGATGGATCGTTTTTCAATAATATGTTCTCATGTATCCTCTGATTTCCATTGAAACATACAAAGTACAAAGTGAAAAACACTTGCTTGGGAAATTATAACATTTTTTCGAGAGTAAAAGAATTGAGACCTGGAGGTAATCTAACAGGTTTTAGGTGCAGGTACAGAAGAAGTACTTCAACTTCCTTACATGTAATGTATAAATGTATTCATTTCATACCTTCACATTGTCAAGGTTGAATGTTCTCTTCCGAGAATTTGTACTGGATGGAAGTGAAGTTGAGAACAATAATTTTTGAAATCTTCATGATTTGATTATTCAAAAAACATGCAAAAAAATCATTATGAATCCATCCTTTACTGTCAGAGACGAATCTTGGATGAATATGTCTTCTATCAGCAAATCTTTCATCTTTTTCTAATTCTTCGGAACCTCAAATGCGACTAAGTACCTATATATAGGTACTCATTAAAGGCACAATTCTTTATATTTTTGAGCAGGAAGGCAATATACACTCAGTAAAGTTTACATCAGACGTATTACACAAAGCAATCTCTAATGAGTGCTATAACAATTTCGTTTTGGAATTAGTGAGAATTGCATTTTTCACATATTTTGAAAGTGAGTTGTGAAATGCTATTATTTATATGAGTTAGAGCTTCTCGTTTGACTCATGATTGGCAGTTGATATATCGAACTTCAAAAACCAATGCATTTTATATGAGATTGATTGTTTTTCAATTATATGTTCTCATGTACGGTTCTGATTTCCATTGCGACATACAAATAAGCACAAAGTGAAAAACACTTGTTTGGTAAATCTATACTATAATAACATCAATAATCTGAAAAATCGATTCAGAACAGATGGTTTTCTAGAAATCGATTGCCATTATGTACATTCCATGTACTGGTAACATGTCACTACAATACTTCTAACCACATAAGTATCTATAAAAAATGAGCACTCGACAGTGTACACTGTACTGATAGAACACGTCAAATGTCATGTTGAACCTGTTGAAGTTACATAGAAAAAGATTACTTTGTCCGTACACACCAAAGAAGCTGCAGAATACAATCTGATTAATACATCCTGTATATATTTTGCCATCTAGTGCTTCTCGATATTTTCAGTCGAACAAAATATCACCATTATTATCTGAACCAATGACCCAGCTGCCTACAGATATCAAATACCTACATAATTATATAATATACTGTAATCTCCATGAATATTCAGATCCAGTAAACACAGTTCAGTGTTCATCTCTAGGTATAAAATTCATTAATAAACAGCAATCTGCTCATTTTAATTGTGACTCCATCGTAGATATTTGAAGAAGCAATGATGAAGATTTTGGGAGCCATCGCACTCATTGTAGCTCTCCAAATTGTTTACTCGAGCGGAGATGAAATTGGTGCAACAAATTTACCAGACATTGATCCAACTCAAATTTATGAAAGTGCACAATCTATGGCAGCCAGACCATACCAAGAAAAAGGTGAGTTTTGATGAAATTTTATATCAATATACAATAATTTTCTTATGACGAGAAGTTTTGCTCCATGTTTATTTCATAGGTGCACGTTCAGACTTGCTGAGCTTGGGTAGCTATTTTATAGTGAACTTTTGCTTTGTTTTGGACTGGAGTTGGTTATGCTTCTGGAAAAATAATTGATACTTTTTCAATGACTATCCACATAATAATTTTTCTAATCTAGGACCAAGGCAAATTACTTACTCACTCATAAAATACAAAGTGTTATTTGAGTATGATGTGGCCCAACTTCCAGAAGTGATACTTTGGGAATAAAAGTGTATGCAAACATAGTAATAATAATAATATTAAAAGTACTCAATTTATCATTTGCAAGAAAAAAATCGCACAAAAATATAATCGAACAAAGATAGTTTGCCAAATCATACCTATCTGCAATAGTGAACAGGCGGAGTATCAGCAAAAGCTGTTTCTCAACTCGACCCCGAAAATATAATAAGAAGAACAACAAGTTAATCTACAGAAATATAAATCATAAAAGGTGTAAAAACAATGTAGATGCGTTATTTCCCGAAGAAACTCCTTTATATTATAACTATACAATAGAAAGAAAGAATTAACAAATTAAAATAAAAAATTGCATAATATTGAGAATTGAATAAACAAAGGACTGTCAGAAAGGCATTGCTAGATTTGTTATTATAATAAGACCTACCTAAATGAAGGATCAAAATTTAATCCCTTCTCAAAGTTACTGAGAGTAGAAGATCTAAATTCCATGGGAAGTGAATTATAATATTTGCTAGCTGTATAAGAGAAGCTGCGTTTGACGAAAGATGAATTACGTTTTGCTATACAACAAGAGTGGTTTTATTGCGACTGAAAATTCGGTTGATATTTGAGAAAGTTTGTAGTCTTCTGTGAAAATATGTGATCATATTTTCGTACTACGTATGAAAACCTTAGGCAAGAATTTTGAATACGTTGTAAGCGAAATGAATCACTTTGTAAAAAAGCAGGACCATAATATATTCTGTCACAATATGATAATTTTGAGAAGATTAAATATTCGCAAAGTTTAAGCTTTAGATTTGTAGAGAGGATATAAGATAGAGGTATAAGATGCAGGATTTTGAAAAATCCGTTTCTCGTGAATCAAATTATCACTTAATTAGTCTCTTACTACCAGAAAAAATACTGACAAATTTTAACGAGGGATAGAGCATTTTTCTGATAATTACGAAGAACTAATATTTCTAACAAAGACTGACACCCTATATCTTGGAAGGTATATGTATTTCGGACGTAGGTTTGTATGGAATTCTCCTCTCACAGTCTCTCAAAAAGTTGCCTCTTGAAGTTCAGCCAAATACTTTAATATCACCCTATATATAATTCCTTCATCTCATTGGTATTGGTAAATAAATATATTATTCAAGGTTTCAACGTTGATGAAATGGATATTCTTTTTAAATGAAAAAAATAAATCCTATAATTATGGAAGCTCATATTGTATATACAGGGTGTTACATAATTCAATACAAATATTTTAATGACATATTCCTGGGGTCAAAATAAGACTTTTTTTTCTATAAACATGTGTCCTAAAATCCACCCCCACCAAGCTACAGACATCGCAAGATGCGCAAAAAAAATCTTAAATTTTGAATTGTGGCTACAATTATGCATCAAATATTTTGAAAATTCACAGGCACTTGTATTTTCAGACGATCTATTCATTTCTCGATTCAAAAATAAGGTAACTCGAATCGAAAGAGGTGAATGAGGGTTGGAGGGGGTGGATTTTAGGACACATGTTTATAGGAAAAAAAAGTCTTATTTTGACCCCAGGAATATGTCATTAAAATATTTGTATTGAATTATGTAACACCCTGTACAATAAACTATACAGGGAGTCCGGAAAGGTCATATCGTAAATGATCGAGCTGATAGAATGAGCCAAAACAATTCAGTACTTCACTTCGTTACGCAGTTATTGACCTTGGAAGTTAGAATAGAAAGAATAATTCATATAGAACTTTGAAACATGATAAATCAATGATATTGCAACTAAATCAACTTATACTAATACTCCATTCGATATGTAAACGGCTGTTCAGTGATTATGTTCTATACAGGATGGGACGAATATTTTCCGTTTAATGGAGACAATTTTGACACAGATGACAAATAGGCTTCCACCGTTCGAATCCTTTACCTTTTGTATACAAAAATAGTAGGATTTATTTTAATCGGTAAATCTTGTACCGTTGTTGAGAAAAACGCATTGTAAAAACATACATGTATCCCAACCGTTCCAAAAGGTTTTAAAAACTCTATTTATTTAATAACATCATGGTAGTTGCAGTTAATATCATAATTGACATCAATTTATTTTGACAATATTCAATACTTTGATTACACCATGGATGAGTTCAGAAATTATAAGTATGTATGGCCTTGCAGAAGCATTTTTTTTATTATTATTATATTATTATTATATATATTATATATATATATTATTTTTTATTATTATTATATTATATTATTTTAGCTCAGCCTATCAGTACTCACATTCAGGACATTTCCTTTCCGGACACCCTAGCTGTATATTATGGTTATAGCCTTGAATGTCTCAACGACTAGATCATTATAAATTTTCATATATTTCATTTCTACAAGATGAGACGAATTCTCTATCTCATTTTGTGGTGAAAATTCAAATCAATGTAGGTCTTCAAATGTATCATGCAGATACAAGGTGTTCATAATATGAATATATATATCATGATTCGAATTTCATATTCGAAACAAATGTAGGGAAAAAAACTAAATTTGAAGTATTCAATTCCGATTTCGAACACCACAAGACAACTTTTGTCGCGGTTGCAAGGTATCTGGCCGTAGATATAGGAAAAAATATTTTGTTGATCGAATTTTTTTCTCTCTGCTGTGTAGCATGTAATGTCAAATGCAAATTTGAAATGACTACTCAATAATTATTATTATCAAGGATGTTACGATCAGAAGTCAGACACACATTAATATTTAAGATAACAAGCAGTAATGTTATATTGGAAATGTTGATGTTGACATTGATATTGCTTTTTTTTTCAGATTGTAGTAAAAACGTTGAAGAATGGGTTTACTTCTGCAGAGCAAAAATTCCCAGATACAGATGGAGCGTTTCTGATAAAACTTGCGTAAAAGACTACTATGGAGGTTGCCATCAAACTAAAAACAATTTTGTGACTCAGGAAGAATGCATGACAGTAGCAGAACCTGTTTGTAAAAATCTATGAATTTTCAGGATGAATAAAATTGAGTGAGCATTTCAATATGAGTTTTCATTTTTCTTAAGATCTGCTTTGTTAAACACTGTTTGTTTTGGTTTACTTTTAGCTCAGAGTAGTTTTTGAACTAGTCTTGAAAGAATAATCGATGTGATTGTATAGGTTAGCACAGCCACAAACCAACACTCACATAACTAAAATGGCATTTAGCGTACGGATATGTACCAAGCTAAATGATCGATTAATCACGGAATGTCGATCCGTGATTTATTCAAAATATTAAACACGTTACCATAGCAACACAATTTCTTAAACACATTACCATGGCAACGCAGTTCATTAAACACAGCTTCAGTAATTCGAGACATGTCTGGCCTTATCAACTGTCAACTGTTATTTTCGAATTTTGTATCAGAATTATTCAAACAATATTCGTTTGTATAAAAATTCTTCATTAAAAATATATGAAAACAGTAGACGATAGTGAAATCGAAGAGAATGTTCTGGTACTTGCATATCTCCAAGGAGTGTAAAAATGAAGCATCCATCTTTGAGAACAATTTATTCATTCTGCGCTAAGCATGACAATAAACGTGAAACAAAGGTTAGTAAGCAATGGAGTGGACACATCTACAACCAATATCACTTATATATACGTGTGTCGCTGGTTGCATGCAGTTGCATGTATTATGTTCTCAATTCCCGTTCCTTACGAATTATTTTGTAGGTTAGCAGGAATTGCAGGTATGTTAATGTAATTTTCGGAGTTCGTAGAAAAATCATAGTATGTAACGCGTTCATAAACTCTTTTAGACACTCGTCCGCTCTGCTCCGCTCGTGGTTAAACTACTCGTTACTAAAAGGACGTTTATAACACTTGTTACATAATATACTATTCTGTTGCCACTAGACGGCCAGTGGCGGATTTTCAAATTTGCCGCCAGTAGGCTGTTAAATTTTTGGCCGCCCGTACTGACCTCTGAAATTCGATACCCTATAGGTCGCAATCATATCGATTACTTATATTTATTCTGTGGAACTTTGCAACTTCATGGGTTGTGCTCTATCGTCTTCATCACATCAGTTTTCTTTTGTTATTATCTAGCATGATTTTGAACTAGGGCTTTGTTGTGTCAGTTTCTAGATTATTTTTGCAACCCACGATTCAGTGAAGATTTCACGAGACATTATTTTTGGATATATTTCTGAGCTTAAAAAAGATGAATCATGTTCTAATTATAAGGCGGGATGGAGTATGCCTTAAAAATATGTATACCATCACAGCTAACAATGAATACTGTACATTTATTTAGTAAACTTTCTTAAATGTTTCTCATTACACTTACAGTTCAAAAACAATACGAACAGTATATCCCTATTAAACCCAGTTAATGATGACAATGAAATAAATCAACCTATGATAGTCTCACATTACCTTTCTGTGAGATTTGAAATTGGCAAAATCATCAATGAAATCGTCGTAATCTTGTTCATAAGTTGTGACGTGACCCAAATTTTTCTTGATCTAAAGGCGATCCTAGATGGTTTTGTCGCTGGTGTTTAGATAAATCAATGTTCTCCGAATTCTGTTTTCACAGGAACAAAGATACTCTTTTTGATGCGCCACTGTAGACGGCTGTGATATATTTAAAGTTTCGCTTATTTTAGCGGATTTTCACGAGAGTACCTTTTGAGCTTGAGAAAAAAATTATCACTATTCTAAACTTGAAGTTTGTTAAGCGCCCCCTAATGGCCACAGTGGAAAGGTTACTAATTTTTCAAGTAATTCGTTAAATCATGTTTATATATTTGGAGAAAAACAAATTTTATTTTTCAACTTTACCACCCTGTATCTCGGAAACGAAGCAAAAAGCCAATGCTTTTCGCATTTGAGATATTCCTGCTAAGACTCTTATTGCTCATTTATCAATTATATGTTCTCAAAAACCCACTGATTGATTGCTTGGGAGAATGTAAAATATTATTCGAAAACAAATATTTTAAACTCATCAATTATTAAGGAAAGAAAAATCTAACATCGATAATTTGAAAAATCGATTCAAAACAGATTTTTTTCTAGAAAATCGATTACCAAACCATTACATGTACTGATAACATGTCATACAATACCAAAAAATGAGTATACTATATACTGTACTGGTAGAACCTTCTGCCTTCTTTGAATGAAAGTCAATAATTGCCTATAGTGATTTCAAAATTTTGTTTATACCTATATACCTTCCCATTCTGAGATAATACAGAAAAATATTACTTTATCAGTACTCACCAAATGCAATTATAATACCTCCTGTATATATTTTGTCATTTAGTGCTTCTTGATATTTTCAGTCGAAAAAAATATCACCATCATTATTTGAAGTAACCTAACATGACCTAACCTCACCTAACCTAACCTGACCCTGCTGCCTACAGATATCAATTACCAATATAATTAGGTATATAATATAGTGTAATTCCCATGAATATTCAAATCCCGAAAATACAGTTCATTGTTCATCTCTAGGTATAAAATTCATTATTAAACTGCAATCTGGTCATTGTAATAGCGACTTCACCGTATAGTGATATTCATAAAAAAATATTAAATATTTGAAGTAGAAATGAAGATTTTGGGAGCCATTACACTCATTGTTACTATCCAGATTGTTTACTCGAGCGGAGATGAAATTGTTCCAACAAATTCAACACATACAACTCAAATTTACGGAGTCTTTAATCCATACGAAAGTGCACAATCTATGGCAGCGAGACCATACCAAGAAAAAGGTGAGTGTTGAGGACATGTCATATCATTATCCGATAACGTTCTCATTAAGTGAGGCTTAACTTCACCTAAACAATTTTCAGAATTGGCGCACGTACAGGGTCTTCTAATATATTTTGAACTTTCCCCTCCCTTTAACTTTTTCAATTATTGTTCAATTTTGAAAAAACCGTCTTCATTGTTTCAGTAGATTATCATAAAAACAGTTGATCGTCTCAAAAAAAAAAAATTATGAGCAACTTATATGAATTTTTAAATGGAACACCCTATCTTTTGTATTTTTCAAGATATTTAACGTTGAACTTCAAATTTTCACTAGGTTTTCTAAGATGATCACGACATACATTGTAGGGTAAATAATAGGTCATAAAAATATGATTGAATTATCAAACGAAATAGAGACACTTTTGGAAACATGATTTGACATCAAGATGGAGCACAATGCCACAATATAGGTACTGTTGCTATTCAGAACAGATTTGTCCTCGTTATCATTGAACATTGAATTAGATCCTACCGAAATCTATGCATCGAATACTGATACAAGTGATTATTTCCTTAATGCCTTTTAATTTCGATTTAGCCAGGCCACGCTATACACCTACAGACCGGTTTCGAGCTCTCTGACTTTCATCAGTGCAGGTCAGTCTCCAGCCAGCAGTCTTAAAACCGCCGACTGAGCGTAGCTTAGCCAAACAAAAATCAAGTCGGCATTATATTCGTGGCTAGATCGAAATCAATAGGTATTCAGGAAAGAATAACTTGTATCAGTATTCGTTTATACGAGTCGATGCATAGATTTCGGTAGGATATAATTCAATTCAATGTGTGACATTACCCAGGAAAGTGGAAAGTAGTTGTTTTTCTTCCTGTACCAATGATGTTCATTTTATGAACATTGTTTGTAAATGACTTAGCTTTTTGTATTTACTCAGTATCCAAAATACTTTCTTCTTGCTTCTCTTATTGTTCCTATCATTGTCGATCTAAATGGAAACCTAGTTAGGTAGTTAGTAGGCGAGAGCATAATATTGTCTGTTCTTTGAAAAAATAAATGAAGGCGTTCAGTAGTACAGAGACATCAATGTGAACCAAGTAAACTAAGTTATTCATATTTTATTCCTAACCCATAACATTTTTCATGGTCCTGTCAAGTTTGTAAATAAAAATCTGTCATGTTGAAACCCGAAGATGAAACATTATCACGAAAGATATTATCAAGTATGAAAACCATCTACCTATAATTGAATGGAAGCAGGGAGATGTTTAGGCAATGCTGTATCAGGTTGACTTATGATGCAACTTGAATTTAAGTTGGAACTGTGGAAACTTCGAAAACTCATCAGTGCTTTTACACTTTTTCGACATGCAAGCCAAGCAGAAAGGTAGGGGCTGCTTATTTCCTTCTATATTTTTGATAAGTTACTATATAATTCATGGAATTCCGTTATTTGCAGTGAAAACATGTCTTTAGTGATGTAAACTATGTACACATCGGAATCACTATACTTGATAATATCAGGTACCTACCTACAGTGAAGAGTATCTACATGAATAGGTTTTCAGTTGAAAAACGAAAAACTATGAGTGATACAAACAAATTGATGTGGAAGAATCACATCAGGAATCATTATGTGAGTAATGTTCAGAAGAAATGTACCAGAAGGATGATGATGTTTGAGAACAGAATGGAAAATTTCCCATCTGAAATGAATATATAGAAGCAATAAGGTTAGACTCAATATGTTTATTTCATCAATGTCTTATGGATATTCTGCTCCAAACACAAAATATCAAGATGCTGGGATATTTAGAATTTTTTTTATTGGAAAATAACTTGTCTTATGTACGAATGACAATACAAATATATTTTTTAATAAATTGAATATAATTATGAAGAATTATTGCAATTTTTATTCTACTAATTTGTTCTCCTCTGATACCCTGTTTATTGTTGTACAGATGTATTGGCAGGTAAGTTTGAAAACACTATATATATTATTGTACCAAAGGTATATAGGTTAAATATATGTTTTGCTGAACAATGATTATTTTTTATAAAATCATCTTATCCACTAACTTCACTAAATATGGGAAGATGTGTCTATAATTGCCACAAATTGAACCATAGGAATATTCAATACCAATATGTATAACTTCTTAATTTATATTGAGTAATCATTTTGAATAAACTTCATTATTATTTATTATCATTCTATAATATCTGTTCAAATGCCCATTTCCTCCTCAGATTCTTCTTAATCTTCAGGTCGTGTTCCTTGAGGAAGGAGTTTCTCTTCAGCATCATATTCCAAACTACATTGATGAGTCTGAAACTATAAAAATATTTGATATCTATTTTGTCCCCAGTTTCAATGATCTGTACCATTCTGAAATGAATTTAATGACAATAATTGACTATGGAACAATTTTTAGAGGTCCCAAAGTCAAGTTCTTGGTAGTTTTTGTACTGAAACTGATAGTTCCAGTCAACTAGAAACTAATAAGCTGATTGCTACAAAGAGTTTGTATAGGTAGGAACTTGTTAAATATAATTTTATTTATATATACGTTCCTTTATCAATCTTGGAACCGAACCCTCCTTCCAAAACCGTTTCCAATTCTTCATTGGCAAGAAACAGTTTCCTTAGAATATTGGAAACATACAGTATCATGTTCGCTCACTTCAAAAACTCTCATTCCTGAAATATCAATGCATCAAGTTTCAAATATTATGCGATTCAAGAAAAAAATTTCACCTTGCAATCCAATGAATATGGCATAAACTCATTGATGCCTCAGGATTTGTGGCTCAAATTCACAACAGTGAGGATAGGGGAAACCAGGTCTTGATAATTTTACACCTCCACCTCCTGGAGTGCGAAGTTTTCAGATAACATTGCAAAATAACACAGTCGCACTCACAAACCAATCAACAAACTGCAATAGAAAACCAATACTAGAAGAAATAATTAGGAATAATTGTAATTTTCAAGAATACGGATTCAAAGTATAACATATTCACAAAGACGAAGTTAATGACAACTGTCAGAAAATAATTTTTTGATTATGACATCTCAATCTCATGAAAGAATCTTCTTCATCGCCTTTGTATCAAATATCACGTCGATGATGGAATGCACATCTGTGGTTGAGTACATATTGGAAAAAAATAGAAGAAGAGAATATCAACCTAATATGGTCTATTTTGACATGAACAAATGAGCTTTTTCCATTTTCAGGATGCCAGCGCCACTTGACAGGCAGACAGATTTTGATTCAAAGAACAGACAATATTGTACCTCCTCGCGTACTAGGTTTTCATTTAGATCGACAATGGTTCCTATTTTCAGACCTGTTTACATCAATTGCAACACACTGAGAATATATAACTGATTAAACCATAATAATATGATATGATGAGGTTCTTGTCAGTCTGAATGAAATTTCAGTTTCAATTTCGAGGCATTTGACCTTGAATCTCCACAAAATTTTCGCCTGCGGCGTAGTTTTACTGTACATTCAAGATGTTTGTCTGACTTTCTTGACCACCCCTGGTATTCACTGAAATGCCGCTCGTGTCAATAATTATTATCACGGAAATATACGAGGGTAATTCGATCAGAAGTATAATATTATAAATGTTGATGTCGACAATGATTTTTTTTTGTTTTTTCAGATTGTAGTAAGAACACCCAAGAATGGGTTTACTACTGCAGAGCGAGGATTCCCAGATATAGATGGAGCGTTTCTGATAAAACTTGCGTAAAAGACTTCTATGGAGGTTGCCATTATACTAAAAACAATTTTGTGACTTTCGAAGAATGTATGACAGTAGCAGAGCCTGTTTGTAAAAATCTATAACTTTTCAGGATGAATAAAATTGAGTGAGCAAAAATGAGATTTTTTTAGATCTGTCTTGGAAATTATGATTGGTTGTTCTATTTGTGAAATCGATGCAACAACATTTTTGGAGAAACTCAAGACTGACAGAATTTCAAGGCCTCAAAACGTAAGAATAAAAACAATATCGTAACATACTCTCAACTCTATAGATATCTACGGAGATACCTACTCAGATATTTCAGCTAAACATCATTTCATACTTGCCAGATATGATGATTTCAGTTATGGTGTGGTACTCACCTGAAACAAAACATAAATAAATATAAAATAACATTCAAATTTCCATGATGAATAACATAACAATGTATTAGATGTGCTGATACCATAGTTTAATAATTGGAATGAGGCCATCTGATATGAATATGCTATCAGCAGAATAACTGTAACTATCCCTATCAGAGAACAGCAAATCAGTGCGTCAGAGGAATTTTAACTGAATTAGTTTTCTTGCAACAAGAAAATATGGCCAATACACATCCCTTGACCATTACATCAGGAAACGGGGAAGTTGTCAAAATATATATTGAATTCCTTATTTCCAAACAAATTGCGAACAAAATTTACGCAAGCTTCATCAAGAGGTCAAAAGCTATCTGGATCTACACTATATCAACTATAGAGAGAGAGAGAGAGAGTATACTTTATTGTCATAAGAATAATCTTGTGGACAAAGTTTAACTTAATCTATAATGTAATATATGTAAAAGTGCTTTTAAATTAATTAATTTTCACTTGATACATAATCAGTTTGTATATATAAAAAAACACATAGGTCGTACAGGATACTGGTAAATAATAAACCAGCCTGTCCTAACATATAAGTAAATTAATAATAAAAATATAAAAATCACATTGAGTGTATCACAAGCCAAATTTAAAATACAGCATTGATTTCAGGGATTATCATTATAAAATTCTTGTACATTATAGTATGGCCTATCACTTAAAAAACATTTCACAGCCTTCCTGAAGCATTGTAAAGATTGTATTTCTGTTATATTCTTTGGCAAATGGTTGAACATTTTACAGCCATTATAGATAATGGAATCCTTTATGACTGATGTCATTGGTATTGGCAACTTAATGTTGTTGCATTGCCTTGTCACATAATGGGTTGGTGAGGATGATTGAAATTTCTTCAAATATTTTTTAATTAAACATACTGTTTCCATTATAAAGATAGAAATCACCGTTAGAATTCCATGAGTGGTAAAGAGTGGTCTGCAGGAATCTGTACGTTTTGATTTGCACATATATCTTACGGCTCGTTTTTGCAAAATTAAAATATTTTGTAGTAGATAACCACTACATACGCCCCAAAATGGAATTCCATATCTCAGGTGAGATTCCACCAGAGAAAAATAAACAGACCTAGCTGCTGTTAAACCAAGTTCATTTGCGACCACTCTGACCGCATAACAACCAGAGGACACTTTGTTACACAGGGCATAAATATGGTCTTCAAATTTTAGTTTTCTATCGATATGTACCCCCAAAAATTTTAAGCTATTTTTGTTCTCAATAATGTCATTTCCAATGGATATATTCTCAAGTTCGCATCTGAAAGCTACTATCTTAGTTTTCGAAATGTTTAGAGAAAGATGATTTGAATCACACCAACTCTTTACTTTCATCATATCGTTAGATATGATTTTAGTTAAATCATTTGCATTGTCCGATTGCCAAAAAATGGTAGTATCGTCCGCAAATAGTGTGAATTTTCCCGAGATATTTATACTTGTCAAATCGTTAACGTAGATGAGGAACAATATTGGCCCCAGTATTGAACCTTGAGGCACACCTTTACGTAGATTCCCAATTCCTGAGCGATGGTTCGTTTCCACCATCTGGCTACGACCCGATAAATATGAGCTGAACCAGCTCAGTATCACTCCTCTGAAGCCGTAGTAAGGAAGCTTCCGCAGCAGTATCTCGTGATCCACACAGTCGAATGCCTTCGAAAAATCGCAAAATACTGCCGCAGCAACCTCGCCACCATTGATTCCAGTATAAACTTTTTCCATGAGAGAGAAGATTGCATCATTAGTGCCTTTGCCGCTTTGAAAGCCAAACTGTTCTTTTATGACGATTTTATGTTTCGACAGAAATGCAGTTATCCTTATCTTGACTAATTTTTCTATAAGTTTTCCTAAAGTGGGAAGTGAAATATAAATGGATTCAATTCATCGAACACTATCTATATTCCAAAATATGGGATATTATTGATAGGAGATAACGAATATATCATCATTGATTACTTAGTTTGTCATATCTAGTCTTGAGTAGAACATTGCATTTGTGAGAATGAAGGTTTTTTGTGGAGTGTTTTTAGTTGTATTGGCAGTGACGAATTCGGTAGCTTTGGAACAAGCTGCCCAATTTTTTACGGAGGCAGAAAGTCCAGAATCTCTAGCAGCAAGATCATTTCAACCAGGAGGTAAAATAATCTGCTCCACATGAGTAAAAGTTCAATTCTCATTTTATCGAACAAATTATTCGGGAAAAGAGAAAATCCCTCATTCCTTTTGAGTAATGATTGCAATATTATTTGTGATATGGTGCTATGGTGATGTGATTTTCTTCTTATTACGCTTGAGAGTCAAGTTTTGATGATGTCATAGGCAAATAACTGCCAAACGTTCAAAAACTCGAACACTTCGTATCAATTGTAATTGAAGAAATGAAAGTTTAGAATCATTTGAAAATGTGATCTATCTAAAATCGAAGACGGTATGTCTTTTGATGAAAATATAATCATGCAGTAATAAATAACGTTTTACATTGATAATACCAAATATAATTGATAATTATGTACTTGATATGTGATAAAAATGTGCATCGAAGTACATGTTTTTGTTTAGTTTATGGTTGAACGTTGAATTTTGTGGAAAGCTGATTCCCGAAATTAATATTTGGATAAGCTGGGGTCAAGCTGTCATCATAATAAGTCGTAGTCATGACATTTCAAACAACACTTTACCAAAACTAGTTCGAGTATATAACGGCGAAGCTTTTCAATTCTCTGCAGATTGAAGTATTCCCAAGAACTTATAACCTCCAAAAATTCAAAAACAAATTCCAACACCTACCTCCTCTCCCTAAGCTCCCTAGCTACATAATAAAAAGAACTTGATGAAAAATCTAGATAGATATTTTTCGCTCATGATGCTCATATAAAAAACGAAAGGAGTTCATACAGGGTGTTTCCGAAATTGGGGCGATGAATAAAATGGAGTGTTCTATATTGACACGATAAATCACAAGAAATAATTGTTTTGAAATTTTCTTCAAACAATGTGTAATTCCACATTCTACATCTTTGAACTGTTATTCAATGTCCAGCAACATTGCAAAAGTCATTGATACTTCCGGTGCTTGTGATCTCGTCGAAAGCAAACACTTGGGTTGGGCTTTTAACCTCTGAACAATGATTTACAAACGTTTCAGGCAAACTTTGAAGCTCAATATCTTCCAAAACATTTATTTTTTGGGCAAAATGTATTCCTTCATTTCGTTTTATTTCTTCTTTTTTCCAACTTTTGATTCCCATTCAAATTGTTTTTGTTCACCAGTATGGAATGAATGTAATATTCAATGTACTTACACAAATGTTATATTATTTTTGAGTTCATTAGAATTGTATAGTTAAAGGTATAATTATTGTTATCTATACTTCCTTATACCAGAACTTGTTTCTGACTGGAAGTCATATTTTCAATGAATAAATAAATAAAAGATTGAGTAAGAAGATATGCACCCATCGATTTGGAATATAAGTGAAGGAATATCTCTTTTATATTATAAATAAATGAAATATTTCACTTGATCTGTTAATATACATTATTTTTATCGAATTAAAATCTTTGGGAAAAACGCGTGTATAGATATATTTATAAAATATAGAATTGTTACTTATCTTTGGACGCTTTGGGAACGAATCTGCTCCCGTTCTCAACATTAAAATGCAAAATATTTTTCTTCGAAAATGTTCTTCTTAGTTTGACACTTCTCAGTGACATATTGATGTTGGCATATGGAGACAATAGCATTGCTCCCTGTTCAGTTGATATAAATAGAACATGGTATTCACTACTGAAAACTGAACATGAAAATGGTAGATTCAAGATCAATTGACAAAAACATCCTGTAACTCATTTGTATACTAACATCATCACTCATCCATATGCGAACATCAGTATGTCACTGAGGGGGTAAAACTATAAGGAAAACATTTTCGAAGAAAAATACTTTGCATTTGTATGTTGAGAAGGGGAGCAGATTTGTTCTCTTCAAACATTTTTCCAAACAAAGTGTCACTGACAAGCTATTGGATTGTTCTTTTAGGCTCCCTGATAGAAAAATGTGTTGAACGCAGTGACATTTTGGGGCAAATCATCTGATTTGTCGCCTACTCTACATATACCGGGTGACACAGGAGACATGTAGCAGCCTGTAGTTTTTTTATTTGGGGAGATAAAATTTTGAAATTCACAGGGGGTATATAATAAGTGGTAGCGCACTTCACGAACTGAACGACAATTTTTTTCAACCATCTGTTTGACCGGAAGTGACCCCAACTTTTTTTTTGAATGTCACCCTGTACATTTCTTCAGTCTATCTTTTTCGCCTTGAAATTCTCTATCCAACCATGTATCACAAAGTGGCATTTAATTCTAAATTCGCTGTTGAATTGCTTTTTATTCATAAAGAATAAGTTGGCTGTGACATGAATTCGATAATATATCGACACATATCATTAGTAAACCGATATTATTCAAAATGTTTTGATATTCTGATCAATGTCTGCAGTTTGTCAATAGCTTGTTTGAGTCAAGATGAAAACCTTCGAAAATAACTGATGATATTGAGGAATCTAAGATACGAACATATTTTTTCGAATTCAGCTACTCGTACAGAAACTATCTGTCTTTTATTTTCGTCATGTACCTATCACATGGTCTTCCCATTTGGAATAATAAAACTAAAATTGTTCCTCTCATACGATGATCCACAGGGCTATCAGTCTATTTTTTCATAATTATTTCACTTAGTAGGCGGTGTACCTACACAAAAAGTTTTATGCGTTTGACAGTTAATCGATTGCATCAATAATTTTTCTTCTTGTACATGTACTTAAGTATTCCTTTTTATTTTTAGATTGTCAAAAAGATACCCACGAAGGCACATTCGTATGTATGGCCCTGTTTTGGCGATACAGATGGAATGACAAGCACCAAGGTTGTGTGAAAGCTGTATTTGGGGGATGTCATGAAACGAAGAACAATTTCAAGACCAAGGAAGAATGCGAAAAGGTGGCAGTTCCGATTTGCAAAGCACAATTGAACCGTTAAAAATATTGAGTGTAGAGTATTTGCGTTTCTACATTATCAACTATCTATATGTATATAGAAATAATGCGTTGATACTGAGTACAAAGAATAGTTAAGTGATGATCTGGAAAACCATAAACTTTTAATAGCATTCATTCTACTTTTATTGTGAACAAGCGAGTGAGGAAATATATTTTGTTTTCACACGAATTTATAATTAAATAAAAATGCTAACCATACAATGATATTGTCAATTAGAAATTTTGTCTTGAATGTGTGGATATAATGAAATAGTATATTACATAACTAGTGTGGAAAGTGACATATTATCATTATTATTTAATTTCACTTCAATATTTAAATGACATCATTAGTTTAACGTTAACTCAACATTAACTCAATATGAACTTAACATTAACTCAACATCAACTCAACATTAACTTTAGATTAACCTAACATTGACTTAACATCAACTTAACATTAACTCAATAATTATTCAACATTAACTCAACATTAAATCAACATTAAATCAACATTAAATCAACATTAAATCAAAATTAGCTTGACATTACCTTAAAATCAAATTAACATCAACTCTATATCAAATTGACATTAACTTCACATTAATCACTAAATTGTCAATACATTGACATTATTTCAACTTTCAATTGAAATTAACTTGATTTCAACTTTTCATCAACTTAACATTACTTACCATAATTCAGCATAATAATCATTCATTGGTACATCATAATCTATAGACCCTGTTACTGTGCGATTTTCGAATATTTCCAACCATGTGAGTTTTACTTTAGAACTTTCTAACTGTTATATGTTGTCATAGTGAAACGAGTCACTTTCTCAATAACAAATCAATGTGTTTTCTGCTGTTTTCATAGGTGGTCGTAGGAAAACCAAGTTTCCACTGCCCAAATAAAATAATGGTGGATATAAGGTGAAACAATTGCCATCACCCCAAATTCTTTGTAGATATACATATAATAAAGGAATAATGGACCAATTCAAAGAAAACATCAGTGAAAACTTGTTTAACCTAAAGAATAGAGGTACCTGATGATGATATATTTTCAATTTTTCAGGAGAAATCAAAATTTGGTTAGTACATTTTGAAATATGCATTGACTCTTCTCATGTGTGCACCCTGTATAACTTTCCGTGATGGTCTCGTTTTTCCGTTGGTTTTGTTTTTTCGAAAACGGTGCGTTATAAGTATCAACAGGAAGTCATTTTTTGCACAAAATTGAATAGCCTTTCTTAGTTTCGCGTAGATTTTGGAAATTTCCCTTCGTTGCTCATTAACACCAATTTGTTGAGATAGTTTCCATTTTCAATAAGATTGTCTATTGGAACTTTTAGTCATTAAATAACAAGTGAAATGAGCTAAGAAACTGATTCCTTCAATATGTACTTGACATTTAGCAATACTTAAGTAGAGAAAACAATTTTCTGAGGTATTCCAAATCAACCTTTTTTTCCATTTGTATCTAAAAATTGCATTGTTCGCTGTATACCATCGTATACAACAATACCATTAATTACCGAAGAGCTTTATTGAAATTCATTGTATTCAAAATACTATTTGAAAGTACATAATTTAGGAAAATTCAGAGGAAATGAGACATGACATAATACATCATAACAAGAATCATTTATTTGACAATGCGAGATCGTTATTTGATTTCTTTCAAGCACTCTAGTTCGAAGTTAACGGTGAACAATACGTTAGTGAGTTGAAGTCAGCTGAACACTGCACTAAATTTCAATTTTCCCTAATTTGCTTGTTTACATCAGAAAGTCACATTTGTATGGCTACACGTTTTCTGCTATAAAGCACCACTCTCACGTTAATAGAGGAAAATAGATGATAGTGACTTAACATCTCGTGAATTGAACAAGAGTGAATGGGAATGTTTCCTTCAAAAGAGTTTTTATCAAATCAGTTTCATGTCCTAGTACTAATTAGTATATGTTTCTGCAATGATTTATATTTTCAAAGTAGAGCAACTATAGGCAATTTTCAGCTAGCAATAATGAACGATGACGTGATCTGGGAATATATGGGTATGATTAGTTTCACCATGTTTTACTGGTTCATATTAATTATACATCCGAAAAAGAAAAATCAGAAAAATAATACATATAACCCTCGGGGTGAGAATCATGAAAAGCCAAATGATTTCTATTAACTATGATAATAATCACAATGAAAGAATTAATTACAAATGTCAAATACAACGAGAACAGCGGATGAATATTAAACAGAAAATAAATAAATAAACTGGTTCAGGTAAAAATGTGGGCGCCTGACCATATTCAATTTATATAGTAATATCGTGAGAAGACAGTTGAATTCTATCAATTTCATGATATTATAATTGTAGGCATTGAAGGAAAAGCTTCTTTTCAGCAATTGCAAAACCGTAAGGTATAATATGCAGATATATACAGTGTGTCCCACTTACCATGCTCACCATGGCTATCATTTTAACGGTGAGAGATACGAGGTCGGTTGAATGACACCAAATGTGGAGTTCGTCAAGACCAACTATAATGTGAAAAAATATTTTGATACAATCTATTCGTTTTTGTTTTATAGGCAAAAAACAGATTTTGATTATTTTCATGTCTCCTCGGTAACTTCTTTATTAATCAAAATATTCAAATAGGAATTTCACATTCTCATGGCAGTTTTTCGAAGTGATTTCGAAAAAAAATATGAATTTTATACCAACTCTTCTAGAATTTGAGATATCAGCACCAACTTTAGTTTTTCAAATGTAGGTTATAGCTCACTATGACTTAGTTACAAATAACTTTTTTTTCTCTTACAGATGATGTGTCGCAGTAATAGTTTTGTGTTGATAACAACGGAGTTATCGTCATTTATACAAAAACAAGAAATTATTTGGAAGCCGCCATCTTGAATTTATGAATTTTAACAAGAAAATCATGATATCCGACCTCAAAAACCCCCACTTACCAATTTTGAATGGAATCGGACCAAATCTTGTCCGCCATCTTGGAGCAGCCATTTTTTTTTTAATTTCAACAGATATTCCATAATGAATTGTCACCGAAATCATGAACACCTGTCAAATTTCAAGTTAATCGGAGTTATGGAATTCTCGAAAAGTTATTTGAAACCGAGGGGTGGCTCACTTGCCTAAATTTTGTACACCATATTACCAAATCAGGTAATATCAGTAATATTTAGGGGATATTACCATAATACCAATAATACTCAAGATATTACTAAATATTACTGATTATGTGAAATATTACCATATATTACCAAATTTTTCCAAATAAGACCAAATTCCACAAAATATTATCAAATATTATCAAATATTACTAAATATTACCAAATATCACCAAATATTACCAAATATTACCTAATATTACCAAATATTACCTAATATTACCAAATATTACCTTATATTACCAAATATTACCAGATATTACCAGATATCACGAAATACCACCAATATTACATTCCAAATAATGATGGGTACTTGATGAATGACATTAATTACCTCGTTAATTACTAATGTATACAGGTAACCTCACTCACCACTATCATCAATTCAACTATTATCAGCAGAAATGTCTATATATTTCGACAACTAAACTGATAAACGAAATAACTTCGAATACTTTCATAATTTTTTTTTCGAGCATGATGGTTCATGGTCCAAGAAAGAATTTCGAAAAATGATCACGATATAGAACCGTATAGAACAAGGTCGAAAAAAACAAAATTACTCAAACGGAATCATAACGACACCGCTGCAATTTTACACTACTTCAATTATCATTCTGTCCAGAAATTTGTGTGCATAGTGTCATTTTGCTCTGGAGAGTAACTGAAAGATGGGGCTAACCAAGTGTGAGAACCGAATAGAAATTTATAATTGGATCTATGAGTAAATCGATTTAAAATTCGACCTCAGTGAATTAATGATAGTGATAAGGGTGGTTACCTGTATGAACTAGTAATAATTAATGTGGTTTATCAGGTTCCTAAACATCAATTGGAAGATGATATTGGTAATATTTTGTAATATTCGGGAATATTTGGTAATATTTGGTAATATTTGGTAATATTTGGTAATATTTGGTAATATCTAGTAATATTTGGTAGTATTCAGTAATATTCGGTAATATTTGGTAATATTTGATAATATTCGGTAATAATTGGTAATATTTGGTAATATTTGGGAATATTCGGGAATATTCAGGAATATTCGGTAGTATTTGGTAATATTTTGAAAAATCAGTAATATTTAGTAATATCTTGAGTATTATTGGTATTATTAGATATTACCTAGTTTATAGTAATATCCCATGAGTTCAGATGAGTTGCTATTATTTAGTATAGATCTAGAAAGTATTCCATTTTAGCTGACAGAGACATATTTCGAATAATACTCAGTATTGCATGGTATTGCCAACATAAAAATAAATAGTTATTATCTCCACATGACATTAAACATGGCTTTTTAATGTCACTTAACAGGTATAGAAGGTGCACTTTAACTGCCTGGGTAGCTTTGAATCTTGTGATTTTCTCCCATGTAAAGCAAATAACTATTTAGGTCTACTCAATTTGACAAATTAGTTGCTGAAATATAGTTAGACATTTCTCAATATCTTTGTGGTTGTTTGGGTGTTCCTAGTCGCCGATTACTCAACCATTAGTATTCAAACACTGAGTTCATGCAAATACATACTGAACCATCAATAAATTAGAGTTAAGAAATGGTATTTTGATACTCATTCTATTCATAGAGATCAGGTAGGCATAGATCGAGGTATAGATACTCACGATGGAAAATAACATGTTGCTGCACCTGACAGACAGCTTTCAAAAATCTCGCTAGGTGGCGAACGCTTATAGAACATTAGAACGTATAATACTCATTTTCATAATATTACTAGAAATACTACCAAAGAATTACTTGATGAAGTATTACTAATATTACTTGGAATATCACCAATAATACTATATTACTATAAAATAATACCAATATTACCATATTATTGACAGATATTACTGATATTACCATATTATTGAAAGATATTACTTATATTAGTATATTACAAGCAGATATTACCAATATTCCAATATTACTAGCTGATATTACCAATAATACCTGTCATATGAAATATTACCAAATATTACTTGATAATACAAGTAATACCGGTAATACTAGGAGTATAATACTGTACTGGTAATATATTACTGACACGATGTACACCATATTACCATAGTGAGCCACCCCTCGTTTGAAACCAAGTCATAGTGAGCTACCTACATTTGGAAAACTAAGGTTGGTGCTGATATCTCAAATTCTAGAAGAGTTGGTATACATTTCATATTTTTTTCGAAATCACTTCGAAAAACTGCCATGAGAATGTGAAATTCCTATTTGAATATTTTCATAAATAAAGAAGTTACCGAGGAGACATGAAAATAATCAAAATCTGTTTTTTGCCTGTAAAACAAAAACGAATAGATTTTAACAAAATATTTTTTCAC